GTTTGGAGGGCATAATACCTAAGAAAGGAAATTCACTACTTCAAATTAGTACAATTAGTCTTATAGGAACATTAACCCCATGATGTTCAATGTCTATTATTGATCCTATTGACTTTCTACTTAGGAGCCCCCCTAAATATGATAAATGAAATCACTTTCTCTCAATCAATAACCCCTAATGATCAACTTCAATAACAACTCTATTGATAGTTGAATTTACAACTCAACTAAGACAAACCAACAACTATGTCAAGTTGCTAAAACTTAAAGCGGTGTACACAAATAAGTTCAACACTAATATTTATGTAGACAACCTCTATTAGACAAGAGTTCCATGATCACATAGACTTATTAATGGTATCAAGTTTGAGTAGACAACCTCTATTATGCTTTATTGTACCACAAAATCCTTGAAATGCATCTGCTTCAGAAACTCCTCTACCAACCAAGGCTTGATTATTTAGAGAAGATTAGTCACAAAAGATCTTTACAAAAGGACTCCCGTTTTCCTTAAGTAGAGACTTCTTCAGGACGTCAAAGATAACCGCCACTTATCCTTGACACCTACTGCACTCTATTACAAAATAAACTGATCTAAGGTCAATTCATCAAGATGATGGAATCTATAACTTTTACTTCTTTAGACAAGTTTCTTGCCAGGAAACTTTTTAGAAAAATTGTGTACCTCTGTAGGTCCAAGCTGAGGAAAAATGCAAACACACATGTAAATGGTACCAAGATCATCAGCTACATCTCCTTTGCTTCAGATAATCACTCTTTGAATCAACAAGATCTTGCATAATCTCTACTCACAGTTGGTTGAACATTAAATCTTTAATGTTGAAACATCAAGGCTGACGCCCTTGACTCAACCTGCCTATGACTTCCTCTGTTGATAGAACCCTTGCAAGTCATGAGCGGTAAAAATAAATCACCTCCCACTATCTTCTTTAAAACAGCCTTCAGCAACATGTAATACGCAATAGAACAACCCAAGCACACAAGCAATAGCCCAGGCACACAAACAACACAACTGCAACATTCATCAACCTGTAGAATAAAAATAGAAACAACCCAAACAAAACAGCATCCAACAGGATCAACATCTTCTCAGACTAAACAGAGCAGCAACAAACACCATCTTCCAACCATCTACACACCTACCACAGCCATACACCAAACTGTATATAGGCCAATCTTCTCCCAGGGCTACCAGAGTTCTTTCATCAGAAAAACATGCAGCGGAAACACAAAAAGAACATCTTCAACATGCCATAAACAAGATGTCAGAACATATTATAGGACATCATACAGAAGTAGCCACTCCTCCTTTGGAAAAACATTCAACATGTCACAGAAGCTCCTATATCAGAGGGCACAACATCAGATACAAAAAATCCTTCAAAAGCAGAAGTAAACACAAACCCCCCTAAACTCCATAAGCAGTAGCTCAAACATCTAGCAAGATAAGCAAATCAACTACCACTTCTCCTTGTTCAAGACACTAGAAAGTAGGTCCCAGGATCTCATTTAGAATAAACAGGATGTCTGCTCTGATACCAATTGAAATTCTAGTATGCAGATCTCATATGTCCTAAGAGATGTTAAGAACATAGATCTCTGCTAATACAGAACAAAGACAAAACATGAGCATTTTAAATCCTTTTAAAAATTAACAGTGTCATGACATCTATTGTAACATCTGCAGACTGACAGAACTATTTATCTAACCATTTAAATTGTGCAGAATTGTAAATGCTGAAAGATAAATAACACAATGAATTGTTAACCCAGTTCGGTGCAACATCACCTACATCTGGGGGCTACCAAGCCAGGAAGGAAATCCACTATCAGTAGAATTAATTTAGAGCTAAACTCCCAGTTTACAACTCCTCACTTAATCTCTACCCAATGCAATTTCTACCTAGGACACTCCTAGATAAGAGACATCTCTCACCCCCTCACAATCACAACAGTGATAACAACAAATGAACAAGTTTTAGAAGACACTCTTCCAAGATAATACTTGATTTTGCTTAACAACTTTAATCAAGAACAATACACTCTTGCTTACAAGCTTTGAGTGAACAATTAACAATTAACAAATTACAATCAACAACCTAAACATGTTTACCACGATGCATCCAAAGATACAAAGGGTGACTTATAAAGTCACACACAAAAGACTATCAAAACCCTAAACCCTTATTTTACACTCAAGTTTTTCTTGTTGTGAGTGCTTAACTTTCCTTGCTTCTGCGCCTCCTTAAATAGTAATGCAGACTGGGCTTGGGCTGGTCAAAAAGGAAGAGAAGATTTCAATCTTCATAAATAGCAGTAGATTCGATTTGATCAATCAAATCTAATCATATCATTCTTCCAATCTTCAACCAAACTTCTGATAATAACTCCATATCAAATCCAATCTGATCCACAATAGGTGTACCAGAAATGCCCACAGTAAGCCACTAAAAACACGCAGATTCTGTACCAGAAAAGTGCAGCCAACTTGCACAAAAAGATATGGACACACAAACATATTCATGACAGACAGATGTCACGACATCCTGTAGGACATCTTGTGATTACACCTAGTTTTACCAAAATGTCTGGCAATCAAGTCAAATTCTAAATCTTTTGCAGAATCTTATTCATAACAGTAGAAACAAATATTTTATAATTTCCTAAAAAGTCTCAAAGATCCTTTTTATGAACTCGAATTAAATCTACACTTTGTTCTTAATAAATCTCCTTGACCTGCGCATACTGATGAGGTATATCCAACAGGATCTCATCAAATCAAAACACCTCTGTCAAGAGATATAAAATAGCAGCTCCTGCTGTACCAGACAAAGATGTCATGACATCTGTCTTGCCATCTTGATTAAAACACATGACAGCAGTCCTGTCTCGACATCTTGATTAAAACACATGACAGCAGTACTGTCTAAACAGTAGATGAAGATGTTATAACATCTTACTTAACATCAATGTAGAATCATGTTTTACCAAAATCTAGCCAATCATAGAACAATGGACAATCATAGAATCATGGAACTAACAGAAATAATGAGATTTAAGGGTTATTAGAGAAATGTTTAATTGTGCAGGTGCTGAAGAAATCTTATCGGTGCATCTTTTGGAAGAGGTCAAGGAGGATAAGATGATCTGGAAGGAAGAAAAAAATAGATTGTACAGTGTGCATTCTGGATACATGTTGTGGAGAAGCTTACGAAGGAGGAATGGGAATGGGGGGGGGGGGGGGGGGGAGAGAGGATTGGAATAGTCTATGGAATATTAAAGCTCCACCAAGGGTTAAACACCTATTGTGCATAATTTGTAAGGACTACTTACTGACTCGTGCTAGACTCCAACAACATCATGTCCATTATCCATATACTTGTCAAATTTGCAAGAGTAACCTTAAAGATGACTGACATCTATTTTTTGGTTATAATGAGATTAATCATTGTTGAAGGGCATCAAGTTTGTCCATTCTTATAGATGCTCATTTGCATTATTTATATGATGCTAAATCACTTATATTTGATATTTGTAGCAAGGAGGATATGAAGGATGTTGGTAGATTTGCTTTCATGTTAGATGAGATCTAGAAGAATTGGAGTAACCGGATTTGGAATAATGAATAATGAATAATAAGTGGCAGGAATGGTTTATGGCCCAGAAAGTGCATGATCTGATTAATAACCACCAGATACTTTCTACTTGGAGCCCTCATAGGGAAGGATAGTTGAAATGTAATATGGATGTGGCGTTCAATAATCATATTGGCACTTCTAATAGGGGTGGTATGCGCGTGATCACATTGTGAATTTCATTTATGCAAATGTGACTTGGGATCTCGGAACTATGTTTGTGTATGAAGTTGAAGCTTTGCCTCTTAAAGAAGCAATCCATGTAGCCATTGAATCGAGTATGGAAAATATGGTTTTCGAAAGTGATTCCCAAAATATTTGTTCAAGTCATTCACTCCAATCATTAGGGTGGTTCAGAGTTTTATTTTATTATTAATCCTATAAAAGTCTTGTTATTAACTTTGAAGTAAAGCTCATTAGACGTCGGACGAATATGGTTTCCCATTCTCTTATTAGGGCGGTCAATTCTTGGCCTAGATGTAATTCGTTGAATTTACCTCCTTCTTTTATTAAACGTTTCCTGATTAATGATATTCATTGAGTTTATTTTGGTTAAAGAAATCCTTTAATTATAATATTTTATTAATTCATCATAATTATGAAAAGACAATCTATGTTTCATTAAATAGAAAAGAAAAATAATTAAGGTCGTGAAATATTTTCGATATAAGTCTCGAGTTTCTTCATATTATTTAGATATCACAATTTTAATATGTTGATTTTGATTAATTCTGACATTTATTTCAAACAATATTACAAGCACAATTACGATATGCAACATGTGACAAGAGTTTGATTTTTTTTATTGTAAGTTATGAGTCTCCCTTTATTGCAAATAACATCATCGTTGGATTGATTTTCAATATCAACTCTAAAAAGGTAACAACATAAATAAAATGTGAAATATTTTTTTATAGTGTATTCTAATCAATTGTCTTGTCAAATTCATTAAATCAAGAGAAAAATAAATATTCATTTATTATAAACATGTTACGTGATACTCTCTCCGATCCTTTTTATAAACTAACATTTCCTATTTATAAAAACCTAGAATAATATTAGCAAAGCCGGAAATGATGGCCTAACATAGCAACATGGTTGATACTATAACCAAAAATAGCAAACTTTGATGTTATAGTCAAATACTTAAAACTTGTGTGAACCCCATTTTAAATGTAAACATGAAAGCCAAATATAACACTTCACACTATAATTATAATACAATTTAAACCAAACAAAGTTTCACTTCACATTATTGCAAACTATCATAACAAAATTGTTATGTCATATTTCTTCAACCACATATGATAAATTAATTTTAAGAAAGATAGTGGCAAGAAGAAAATGGTGGCAAATTTATCAATTTATTTGGTGTTTGCATTGGTGGTGTTACCATACTATCCTATTTTGTGTCAAGATAATGAATGGCAAAGTCTAATAGACCAAGCACACGAATATGGTGTTTCTCAAGAAACAATTGATGGAGCTCAAAATTATATTGGAAATAGTTCTATGGAAGAGGTTACTGAGGAAGCTTTGCGTGACGGATCATTGGCTGATTGGGTTCTAGAAGCAACGTAAGATCATATCATATCACATTTTTCATTCTTTTATATATTTTTAAGATACTTCTAACAATACATCTTATGTTTTTGGAGGCTCTGTATAGATTATCCACCTTTGAATTATGGAAAAATAGCTATTCACCTTTTAATTTTTTTTAAAGTATATAATTACCAATTAACTAAATGTGAATGTTGTTGTGAAAAATCAGTGAGGATGAAGACAATGAAAGCAAACCACCACCAGTAGATGCATCAACAAATTTACCTAGTGATGTAGAGAACTCACCAAATTTGGCTCCAAATTTTCCTCCAAATTTGGCTCCAAATTTTTCTCCAAATTCGGCTCCAAGTTTTTCTCCAAATGCAGGACCTGAACTAGCACCAAATAATGCACCTTTTAGTGCACCATCACCTGCCCCTTATGCAGAATCTCCCAAAGCATGAGACTTATGTTGATTTAGTTATGCAATAGATGTATTGTATATAAACTTAATTTGATGTAGATTAAAAAAATATATAAAATTTTAGATAAAGAGTTTTGTCATTAAAAAATATTGGCAGTGTAGTTTATGGTCTACTTTATCTTCTATTCTTGTGTAAATAATATTCTAATATCATTACAATATTATTTTCAATTATTTTTTCATAACGATAAATATGACTTTTCACTTCAACCTTTATGCTTAAAAATAAAATAAAATGATAGTGATAATTTTTTGTGACAAGTTTATTCTTTATTCGTATAGAATGTACAAGAAACAATAATAGTTGAAATTAAGAAGAAAAAAAAAAGAATTTATAAGTGATGGAGAATTTGAATATAATTGTCATGACGCAAAAAATAATCAAGCAAGAAAGAGGGCAAATATTTTTTCAATAAGGTGCTTGACAAGATGTTGAATCTTGCTATCACGTATCTCCCAGTGCGATAGAGAATTCAAAGCTACATAGTTATTGATAGAAAAATCTTGTGCGTTGGTTGATTTTAAATAAAAAGGATTTGACCGCGTTAAGGCGGAAAGAAAGTTGTTCATTGTTTGAAAATAAAAAAGGAGTTGATCGCGTTGAGGTGGAAGAGAAGTTGGTAGCTGGTTGTAGTTGTTTTTAGGAGAAAGACAAGTGTTAGGACCAACAAGATATACGACTTGTGTTCGAACATGTGAAATCAAAGGAATATACATCCAACTGATCATTTTTAATCCTTTCTTTTCTTATAACAAAAATATCCCAAGCGAATTAAATCATGATTCTTTAAAGGAAGACAAACATTCGAACAAGCAAGCTATACAACTTGTATCCCGACACTTGGGATCAAAGGGATATACATCCGATTAACCCCTCTTTAATTCAATAAGGTAACAAACTCAAAATTATGTTTATTAATATAAACTTTTTGAAGGGAAGACATTCACTTGAACAAGCAAGTTATACGGCTTGTGTGCGAATGATTGAGGATCAAAGGGACATACGTCTAATTGATCATTTTTTATTTGATTTTTTTATTGAAAAAGAGAACAAAGATGATTTATTCGAGTTCAAAGTCACTAAAACGTATAACCTAAAAGTTTCTTAAAGGTCGTGAATAAATGAAAAGAAATACGAAGTAACTAAAAAATAGATCAAAATTTAAACCAGTAAAAATTGGACCGAGATTCGGCAACTAAATTTAACCTAATACATAAACATACACATAGCACATATAATAATACTAAATGAATAAATAGATACAAAATTTTCCCCAACTTTGTATGCATACAAAAACAACTTTTTTTTTTAATTATCATTTATAAAATAAGACATTTGTTTCACTTTAAAGTATATAACTTTCATTCCTACATGACTTGGAGAAACAACTCAAAGTGACTTGAAAAGATTCCATCATAGCTTTAAAAAGTAAACTCTACCTGGCCTGTACAAATCCAAATAAGACGTGAGAAACTTATAGCATGACATGAAAACAAATCCTTCATGGTATCCAAAATTACTTAAAAACTTGGCCACAAATTAGAAAAACACTTGAAATCATGGCTTGTAACAATTCCAAACATTGCACAAGTTGAACACATGTCTTGTCCACAAGTTATTTATGCCATGAACCACTTGAAATGTAACTTAAATATGACTTAAGAACGGCTTGGAACCAATTGAACAGTAAATTGGAAGCAAACTTGAAACAAGTTAAGTCAAAGATTAAAAAGAATGGCACAAAATCCACTTGAAGTATGGCTTGAGAAGAAATTGGAACAAAGTTTGAAATCAATTATCTTTATCTTGAGCAATTTGGTCCCACAGTCTGAGTTTGTTTGCAAGATCCTGTGCTCACAAAAGAAAACCTCCACAATTTCTACCTTGGAGGATTAAGGCCAGCGGCCAAATAGTCATCCACAAATCTTGGCATAGGAAAAGTGAGAAAAGGTAGGACAAGTTTGGAGTATGACAGATGCCTCTATCTAATTGTCTTGAACCCAAGAGAATGAACTGTTGTGTGGCGTTCATTTTTATGGTAGAAGGCAATTAGATACAAGAAGACCCCGAAATTTGTTTGATAAGAAAGTGAAGTTGACTGCAAGATTGCAGTAAGCGATAAAAAAATGAACAGAATAACTTGAGGTTCTTCGGGTGGTTGAAGTAGTATCTTATCCAATAAGATTCTTCGATGATACCAAAGTGGTACCTCTGAACAAAACTTGAGATTCTTCGGGTGGTCAAAGCAACATCTTATCCAATAAGATTCTTCGCGATACCAAAGCAGTATCTCTGAACACCATCGAGATTTCTTCGGGTGGTCGAAGCAATCCCTTATCCATTAAGGTTCTTCGCGATACCAAAGCAGTATCTCTGAACACCAACGAGATTTTTTCGGGTGGTCGAAGCAGTCCCTTATCCAATAAGATTCTTCGCGATACTAAAGCAGTATCTCTGAACAAAATTTAAGATTCTTTGGGTGGTCGAAGCAGCATCTTATCCAATAAGATTCTTCACAATACCAAAGCAGTATCTCTAAACACCAACGAGATTTCTTTGGGTGGTCGAAGCATTCCATTATCCATTAAGGTTCTTCGCGATACCAAAACATCTCTGAACACCAATGAGATTTCTTCAGGTGGTCAAAGTAGTCCCTTATCCATTAAGGTTCTTCGCGATACCAAAGCAGTATCTCTGAACAAAATTTGAGATTCTTCTGGTGGTCGAAGCAGCATCTTATCCAATAAGATTCTTCGCGATACCAAAGCAGTATCTCTGAACACCAACGAGATTTCTTCGGGTGGTCGAAGCAACCCCTTATCCATTAAGGTTCTTCACGATACCAAAGCAGTATCTCGAGCGATAAATTTGCTGGAGAATAGTTGAGCAAAATTCCTATCAGAGGAAAAGTATTGTCCAAACTCTATAGAGGAAAAACCTTCAAGAAACTTTTTAAGATAACCTCTACTTGGGGAGTAACAAGAGTAACAACTGCTGAGGACTATCGTTATCATCTACATGGTTGAAGAATGACTTGCTGGGGAATATAACTCCATGAGCACGTGAGGGGTATTAACTCTTATAAGGGAAATACTGCCGACTTTAATGGAGGTCTGGCCAAGATGCCTGTGAACTGATCCTGGATCCTGCTATATTGTTATGTTATGTTGCTAGGGAAAGCGATGTTATGCATTATGATGCACAGACATGTAACTAAGATGCAACTACTAGGGAATCAAATGTATGTGGGAATGCAAATGATGTGCTAATGCTTGACATGACATTATCCTATATGTCGTGCTTATGATAATGCAAAAGACCCAGTGCACTGGGGATAAGTTTCCTGTTGGAGGTATCACCGGGGACTGGATTTGGTAGCTGCCAAATGAAATTGGACTTCGGTTTTTGTATTTGCCAAATGAGATTGGAATTTGGTTTTATGAGGATGCCAACGAGGGTGGACTTTTAGTGGTTGCCAATGAAAACTTGGACTTTAGAGGGTAAATTGAAGGTGCCAACTGGAGTGGTTTTTTTGTTGTTGCAGTTGCCAATAAAAGATTGGACTTTAAGGTTATATAGGGGGTAGTGAGAGAATTTGACTACTCGACATCCCACGTTTGGGAACCCAATGGGTGCTAGAGGAACTGATTTCCCTTAGTAATCTTTAAACATAATGTTGGGGGAAACACATTACGTAGATCTGTAAGAACATATTGCTTACGATGAAGAGTCGGGGTGACTGACAACTGATTTGATGTTGTTGCATGGTGAAATATCTCTGGAGACCATCTAATATCCTCTAATATCTTCAAACACCAAAACAAGTTTTATCGTCTGTCAAAGATTATTATCATTATTTTTAACTGAAGTTTCAAAGCATAAATTATCAAAAATGAAAATAATTCGCAAACAATTAAGTAAAGTAAAAATTGAGCACATTTTGATGAGAAATCTCTCTTTATATTGATTTGGCCCTTAAATGGGTAAGTATATACAAGTATGCAATTCCTTAATGAGGTAATTGTGGTGCAAGAAAAATATAATGGCAATACAAATTATTGAAGTTCCAATGAGTTTCGACACTGCTATAGTCCCTATGACTTAGAAGACCTCAACACCTTTCTTTGTGAGAAGACGACTGGATTGATTCCTCTTTTTAATGACGTATTAGGGTTAAATGAACATGTAAACTAGATACTTTGCCTTGTAATTTTGTCCTTAACTTTTGTCTGGATCTCCCTTTCAGGTTTTCAATCCATCGGAATGCCCTTTTTTGCCTGAGTCTCCCTTTCGAGTTTTCAGCTCAGCGCGCCTATTTTTTTTATCCCTAACTTTTGCCTGGACCTCCTTTTCGGATTTTCAGCCCATCGGGATGACCATTTTTGCCTAAGTCGTCTTTTCAGGTTTTCGACTTAGCGACTTTATTATTCCATTTTTTAGGCAAAGTATCGTTTGACGGAATCTGCGTTCACCGGGTAAGGTAATTCATCACCATCCATAGTTGCGAGTTTTCGAGCACCATCAGAGAATGCCTCTATTACAGCATACGAGCCTTCATAATTTGGCATCCATTTTGCCCCTATATTCGTTGTACATGGTCATGATCCTTTTGAGCACCAAGTCACCTTCCCTGAATATCCTGGGATGCACTCTCTTGTCAAAAGCTCTATTCATGCATCTTTGATAAAGCTGACCATGACATATAGCTGCCAAGCATTTTTTTCTCAATGAGATTGAGCTCATCAAATCTTGTCTTCACCACTCTGATTCATCAAGTTGAGCTTCCATTAAAACTCTTAATGAGGGGGTCTCAACCTTTATCGGAAGAACCACTTCCATGCCATAAACCAATGAGTAGGGAGTTGCCCCTGTCGAAGTTCGCACTGAGGTACGATAGCCGTGCAGGACAAAAGGCAACATTTCATGCCAATCTTTGTAGGTGACCACCATTTTCTGGATGATCTTCTTGATACTTTTGT